TAAGAAATTATAGTAACGCGTTTCGCACGCAGGAATGGTCTAAGGGGCGATGTCTTGCGTTTACGCGGAACTTCACACTTTAGTTAGTTTTGTGTTCGTTTCTTCGTGCAACCAGTCGAAGGTCAAGTCCAAACAAGGCGTTTGCGGGTTGGAGAAAGCATTTTGCAGCATGTAAGTAGTTCGCAGTTAACTGGGCAACCATAATCAAAACTGTGACTTACCAGCAGATAGAACATTGATTAAGGAGATAATTAATTGTAACGGTGTGTTGAGTGAATCTATTTTTCATTTAAAAGAATCCACGTGTTATTATTCATCTCTAATACAACGTTATGCTAACTTTAAATAACTGAATTGATGTTCTCTTCTATACAGCCAACTATTTCAACTCCGTATTTGATTCAAAATATACGATTTTGAAAAGCGGTTTTTTAACATAAATATTCTTATCTGGCATGCTTATTTACCTACGTTTGCCAACTTTATGTGCAGGTAGTTCTTGGTGGTGGACGACGACATTGGTTACCAAAAGTAACACGTGACCCAGAAGCGCCTGGAGACGAAGGCCGACGGTTAGACGGACGTAACCTGATCGCCGATTGGCTACGCGAGAAGAAACGGAGAAGTGTAAGGGCCGAATACGTATGGAATCGTGATCAGATGGAACACGTGGATCCCCATCGCGTTGACTATTTATTGGGTAAGTAATGCGTCTGTAGAACATTAAGAAGTGTGAGTTTTCTGACGTAGGATATGTGAATATGAGACGAACTGAGAAGTTTCGGTGTTGATGTTTTGAGGTACGTCCACCTTCAAATGAAAATTAGGCTAATATCTACACATTAATCTCCTGTCTCTGTAGTTCTGTGATAATTCAAAGGGAACAAATTATTCGCGATTAGCCGAGTCGTACTACGCAAATTCAATATCCCGTCTCATTTGGCCATATTGTTATTTTTCTGGTTTTAAAATTTGTAATGCGAGATTTCAGGTTCTTGCTTCGGGGTGTATGAAGATGACCGTCTTCTGACTTATTGCGCATTTTAGTCCGATAGAAATTTACCGACGTCTTAGAAGTCCTTACTACCTTCATCATCATGGAAATAAATTATTGCCCTAATGAAACACGTTTTACGTTCTGCAGGCCTGTTCGCGTACTCTCATCTCGACTTCGAAGCGGACCGTGACACGAGTCCTAATGGAGACCCTTCACTGGCTGATATGACTCGTGTTGCCTTGTCCATCTTGGCCAAGAACCCTAAAGGATTTCTTCTGTTTGTGGAAGGCAAGTTACACAGCTCCTGTGTTTAAAGTTAAACTTGATAAACTTGGCCACTGTGAAATTTAATTGATATCTATTTACTTAAAAGCTATTTAACAAGAAATTTAAAAAAAAGTTTGAGGTATTCTCACACTCTGTAGCCTCTGACATGTCTTTTTTCTGAATTACCGAATGTATGAGATTTCACGGGTCTATGTCATCGCCGTCATATCTGCGATATGTCTCGCCCATTCCATTTTGTTTTATCACCTAGAATTTCTTCTGGAAATCTGCTGCCAAAAACCGTTTATTTTTATGTGAAAATATCGTGTTTATCATACTAATAAAACTAGCACTTAAAATTACATTCTTTGTAGAAATATAGATTATTTTTACTGCGGAAAGAAAGTTTTTGTTAACTGATTGATTATTTATTAGTTATCTAAATATCTGTGAAAATGGCTGTTTTATTATGGGAATTAGTATTCCCGTTGTCAATCAGTAACCTGGAAACGGGAATAGAGTGAACTCCCGAAACGTATAGACAATGGACAGTGTCAAATAAAATGCTCCTATAACACATGCTTGAAATTATTCAGTTTTAAATTGTCTATTCTCCTGCAAATTCTGAATCTTGATTTGCTCGCTTGCAAAATACATGACAGAGAAATACACAAGGATGTTTAATACCGCCTTTTTGACGTAAATACGTCTATATTTTAGGGTCAGTGTCATTCGGCAAAAATATGTAACGAAAAAGGGAAACGAAAAAGTGTGACTTTATTGTTATGTTACCTAGGAAACGTCATCTGTTTATCAACAAATAAACAACAATGGTTGCCTACATAGTTACCTCACCTTACCTTACATTACGTTACCTTACATTACATTCATCTATCACAGACCCAACTGAAGCCTTACTAATTCAAATTAAATAAGCAATGTCTTAATCAAACTTTACACAATTGTAAAGCGTGTATAAAGGAAATATTTAGAATAAAGAAAAATATATAAAATTCCTTTCCGTATAGACGTATTTACGTCAAATTCTCCGGAACCGTGGTTCCACTGACAACTTTTTTTTGGCTACATTGCAATACGTTAGAAGAAGTAACTGGTGGATAGGTTAGCATGTGTTGGGTTACGTTAGGTTAGGTTAGGTTAGGTTAGGTTAGGTTAGGTTGGGTTAGGTTAGGTTAGGTTAGGTGAGGTTAGATTAGTGTGTTTTCTTACTTTCGGTAATATTTTGAAAAATGTTGTGACTATTAGACACTTATGGCCACAGTTCGTCACGTCGTTACAGTACGGCACGACTAGTCACGCTTTGTCACGCATGGTCAAGCATGGTCACGCTTCGATGAAATTCGTCATTTTTTACTCTTCTGGCACCATCTCGTCACGCTTTATCACGCATGGTCACGCTTTGTTTGAATTCGTCATCTTTCGTCTTTTCTGACCAAATATCGTCATGCCTTTACAGTAAATCACGCCTAGTCACGCTTCATCACGCTTTGTCACGCTTAGTCACGTTTGTTCACGCTTTGTAAATCTTCGTTGCAATTCGTCACTTATGGTGATCCTTTGTCACGACTTGAGCGCAGGTCACGCATAAATACGCTATGTCACGCTTGAGCACGCGAAATAATTTTTTGGAAATTTTTTGTGACTATTCGACACTTATGGCAACAGTTCGTCACGTCGTTACAGTACGGCACGACTAGTCACGCTTTGTCAAGCTTTGTCACGCTTCAATGAAATTCGTCATTTTTGACACTTCTTGCACCATCTTGTCACGCTTTTACAGTAAATCATGCTTCATCACGCATTGTCACGCTTTATCACGCATGGTCACGCTTTGTTTAAATTCGTCATTTTTCGTATTTTCTGACCACATTTCGTCATGCCTTTACAGTAAATCACGCCTAGTCACGCTTCATCACGCTTTGTCACGCATGGTCACGCTTTGTAAATCTTCGTCGCAATTCGGCACTTATGGTGATCCTTTGTCACGACATGAGCGCAGGTCACGCATAAACACGCCATGTCACGCTTGAGCACGCGTGTTCACCATATCACGTCGTTACAGTACGGCAACACTAGTCACGCTTTGTCACGCATGTTCACGCTTCGATGAAATTCATCATTTTTGACTCTTCTTGCACCATCTTGTCACGCGTTTACAGTAAATCACGATTCATCACACATTGTCACGCTTTGTCACGCTTTATCACGCATGGTCACGCTTTGTTTAAATTCGTCATCTTCTGTCTTTTCTGAAACAATTTCGTCATGCCTTTACAGTAAATCACGCTTAATCACGCATTGTAACGCTTTGTCACGCTTTATCACGCATGGTCACGCTTTGTTTAAATTCGTCATCTTCTGTCTTTTCTGAAACAATTTCGTCATGCCTTTACAGTAAATCACGCCTAGTAACGCTTAATCACGCTTTGTCACGCTTTGTCACGCATGGTCACGCTTTGTGAAACTTCGTCGCAAATCGTCACTTATGGTGATCCTTTTTCACAATAGCGAAGGTCACGCTTAAAGACGCTATGTTACGCTTCAGCACGCGTGTTCACCATGTCACGTTTCGGCACGTGTACCTTATGTTACGTACGGCTCGATTATTTTTGGGTACATTGCAATACGTTAGAAGAAATATATTGTGGTTAGGTTAGCATGTTTTAGGTATGTTAGGTTAGGTTAGGTTTAGGTTGGGTTAGAATAGGTTAGGTTAGGTTGCCTTACGTTAGGTTAGGTTAGGTTAGGTTAGTGTGTTTTCTTACTTTCGATAAATTTTTGGAAATTTTTGTGACTATTCGGCACTTATGACCACAGTTCGTCACGTCGTTACAGTACGGCACGACTAGTCACGCTTTGTCACGCATTGTCACGCTTCGATGAAATTCATCATTTTTGACTCTTCTTGCACCATCTCGTTACGTTTAAACAGTAAATCACGCCTCATCACGCATTGTCACGCTTTGTCACGCTTTGTCACGCTTTATCACGCATGGTCACGCTTTGTTTAAATTCGTCATCTTTTGTATTTTCTGACCACATTTCGTCATGCCGTTACAGTAAATCACGTCTAGTCACGCTTAAACACGCATTGTCACGCTTAGTCACGTTTGTTCACGCTATATAAATCTTCGTCGCAATTCGTCACTTATGGTGATCCTTTGTCACGACATGAGCGCAGGTTACGCATAAACACGCTATGTCACGCTTGAGCACGCGTGATCATCATGTCACGTTTCGGCACGTCTACCTTATGTTACGTACGGTTCGATTATTTTTGGGTACATTGCAACAAGTTAGAAGAAATAACTGGTGGTTAGGTTAGCATGTGTTAGGTATGTTAGGTTAGGTTGGGTTAGGTTATGTTAGGTTAGGTTAGGTTAGGTTAGGTTAGGTTAGGTTAGGTGAGGTTAGTGTGTTTTCTTACTTTCGATAAAGTTTTGAAATTTTTGTGACTATTCAACACTTATGGCCACAGTTCGTCACGTTGTTACAGTACGGCACGCTTTGTCACGCTTTGTCACGCATGGTCACGCTTTGTTTAAATTCGTCATCTTTCGTCTTTTCTGACCACATTTCGTCATGCCTTTACAGTAAATCACGACTAGTCACGCTTCATCACGCTTTATTACGCTTGGTCACGTTTGTTCACGCTTTGTAAATCTTGGTCGCAATTCGTCACTTACGGTGATCCTTAGTCACGACTTGAGCGCAGGTCACGCATAAACACGCTATGTCACGCTTGAGCACGCGTGATCATCATGCCACGTTTCGGCACGTCTACCTTATGTTACGTACGGCTCGATTATTTTTGGGTACATTGCAATACGTTAGAAGAAATAAGTGGTGGTTAGGTTAGCATGTATTAGGTACGTTTGGTTAGGTTGGGTTAGGTTAGGTTAGGTGAGGTTAGTGTGTTTTCTTACTTTCGGTAATGTTTTGAAAATTTTTGTGACTATTCGACACTTATGGCCACAGTTCGTCACGTCGTTACAGTACGGCACGACTAGTCACGCGTTGTCACGCTTTGTCACGCATGGTCACGCTTTGTTTAAATTCGTCATCTTTCGTCTTTTCTGGCCACATTTCGTCATGCCTTTACAGTAAATCACGCTTTATCACACATTGTCACGCTTTGTCACTTTTTATCATGCATGATCACTCTTTGTTTAAATTCTTCATCTTTCGTCTTTTCTGGCCACATTTCGTCATGCCTTTACAGTAAATCACTCCTAGTCACGCTTCATCACGCTTAATCACGTTCGTTCACGCTTTGTAAATCTTCGTCGCAATTCGTCACTTATGGTGATCTTTTGTCGCGACATGACCGCATGTCACGCATAAACACGCTATGACACGCTTGATCACCATGTCACGTTTCGGCACGTCTACCTTATGGTTCGTACGGCTCGATTATTTTTTGGTGTATTGCAATACGTTAGAAGAAATAACTGGTGGTTAGGTTAGCATGTGTTAGGTACGTTAGGTTAGGTTAGGTTGGGTTAGGTTAGGTTAAGTTAGTGTGTTTTCTTACTTTCGGTAATGTTTTGAAAAAATTTGTGTCTATTCGACACTTATGGCCACAGTTAGTCACGTCGTTTCAGTACGGCACGACTAGTCACGCTTTGTCACGCATGGTCACGCTTCGATGAAATTCATCATTTTTTACTCTTCTTGCACCATCTCGTCACGTTTTTACAGTAAATCACGCTTCATCACGCATTGTCACGCTTTGTCACGCTTTATCACGCATGGTCACGCTTTGTTTAAATTCGTCATCTTTCGACTCTTCTGGCCACATTGCGTCATGCCTTTACAGTAAATCACGCCTAGTCACGCTTCATCACGCTTAGTCACGTTTGTTCACGGTTTGTAAATCTTCGTCGCAAAATCGTCACTTATGGTGATCCTTTGTCACGACATGAGCGCAGGTCACGCATAAACACGCTATGTCACGCTTGAGCACGCGTGATCATCATGCCACGTTTCGGCACGTCTACCTTATGTTACGTACGGCTCGATTATTTTTGGGTACATTGCAATACGTTAGAAGAATTAAGTGGTGGTTAGGTTAGCATGTGTTATTCACGGTTTGTAAATCTTCGTCGCAAAATCGTCACTTATGGTGATCCTTTGTCACGACATGAGCGCAGGTCACGCATAAACACGCTATGTCACGCTTGAGCACGCGTGATCATGTCACGTTATGGCACGTCTACCTTATGTTACGTACGGCTCGATTATTTTTGTGTACATTGCAATACGTTAGAAGAATTAAGTGGTGGTTAGGTTAGCATGTGTTAGGTACGTTAGGTTAGGTTAGGTTGGGTTAGGTTAGGTTTCGTTAGGTTAGGTTAGGTTAGGTTAGTGTGTTCTCTTACTTTATATAAGTTTTTGGAAATTTTTGTGACTATTCGACACTTATATCCACAGTTCGTCACGTCGTTACAGTACGGCACGCTTTGTCACTCTTTGTCACGTATGGTCACGCTTCGATGAAATTCGTCATTTTTGACTCTTCTTGCACCATCTTGTCACGCGTTTACAGTAAATTACGCTTCATCACACATTGTCACGATTTGTCATGCTTTATCACGCATGGTCACTCTTTGTTTAAATTCGTCATCTTTCGTCTTTTCTGGCCACATTTCTTCATGCCTTTACAGTAAATCACGCCTAGTCTTGCTTCATCACGCTTTGTCACGCTTAGTCACGTTTGCTCACGCTTTGTAAATCTTCGGAACAATTCGACACATATGGTGATGCCTTGCCACGGTGTGGGCGCAGGTCACGCACAGGCACACTGTGTCACGCTTGAGCACGCGTGATCACCATGTCACGTTTCGGCACGTCTACCTTATGTTACTTACGGCTCCATTATTTTTGGGTACATTGCAATACGTTAGAAGAAATAGCTGGTGGTTAGGTTAGCATGAGTTAGGTACGTTAGTTTAGGTTAGGTTAAGTTAGGTTGGGTTAGGTTAGGTTAGGTTAGGTTGGGTTAGGTAAGGTTAAGTTAGGTTAGGTTAGTGTGTTTTCTTACGTTCGGTAATGTTTTGAAAACTTTTGTGTCTATTCGACACTTTTGGCCACAATTCGTCACGCCGTTACAGTACGTCACGACTAGTCACGCTTTGTCACGCTTTGTCACGCTTTGTCACACATGGTTCCGCTTCGATTAAATTCGTCATCTTTCGACTCTTCTTCCAGCATCTCGTCACGCTTTTACAGTAAATCAAGGTATATCACTCTTTGTCACGCTTTGACACGCTTTGACGCGCTTTGTCACGATGGTTCCGCTTCGATTAAATTCGTCATCTTTCGACTCTTCTTCCAGCATCTCGTCACGCTTTTACAGTAAATCAAGGTATATCACTCTTTGTCACGCTTTGACACGCTTTGACGCGCTTTGTCACGCATTGTCACGCTTTGTGTATATCACTCTTTGTCACGCTTTGACACGCTTTGACGCGCTTTGTCACGCATTGTCACGCTTTGTTTAAATTCGTCATCTTTCTACCCTTCTGGCCACATTTCGTCATGCCTTCACAGTAAATCACGCCTAGTCACGCTTCATCACGCTTTGTCACTCTTAGTCATGTTTACTCACGCTTTGTAAATCCTCGTCGCAATTCGTCACTTATGGTGATCCTTTGTCACGACATAAGCGCAGGTCACGCATAATCACGCTATGTCACGCTTGAGCACGGGTGATCACCATGTCACGTTTCGGTACGTCTACCTTATGTTACGTACGGCTCGTTTATTTTGACGTAAATACGTCTATATTTTAGGGTGAGTGTCTTTCGACAAAAATGTGTAACGAAAAATTGTTACGAAAAAGGGAAACGAAAAAGTGTAACTTCATTTTTATGTTACCTAGGAAACGTCATCTGTTTATCATCAAATAAACAACAATGGTTACCTACATAGTTACCTCACCTTACCTTACCTTACATTACTTTACAGTACCTTAGCTTACACTACCTTACATTACATTACATTGCACTAAATTCATCTACCACAGACCCATCTTAAGCGTAACTAATTCAAGTTAAATGAGCAATGTCTTAATCAAACTTTACTAAATTGTAATGCAGGTATTACGATTTCGACCCATGTGCGTATTTATTGCTTTTACAATATAACAGGTCTTCAAATTCATATTTTTTAACTTCGAAATAATCTCTTCTTGAGCTGAAATATTTGAGGATATAATAATTCTGATGCAAGGAAAAGCACTTCGTCGAAAAGTATTCGACAAATGCAGGTGAAGTGTTTAAAGTATGTGTATAGTCTTATTTTCAGAGACACAGAAAAGAATAATTTTATTAAAGGAAATTCTTGAGAAATCTTTGACATAAACTACGTCATAAAAATAGAAGTGTTAAGTAAAGAAGAAGGAAAAAATGGAGTGGATAAAGAGGGTTGAGTGAAGATCGTCGAGTAAGTAGATAGGAAGACTGAATGGGAGAATACTGATCAGTGGAGAAAAATGGGGAATCTTGTTAATAATAAAGTAGGTACATCGCATATTTTGCTTATTGCATCTGTAATTCACTATCCACAAACTACTCGAATACTCTGAATAAATAATCTCTACAGCGAGTGTTCGAAATTGTAATGGGCCTACACGATTTACTGCAAATGTGCGACATAATTTTCGGCGGAGCTTACATGTTACTAATACAGGGATTTAATATCGAAATTACCAAAATATGTAGTAGAACATAAATAAACTGTAGGTATGAAACATGCATGACGCGAAACTATTACTGGAATTGTAATACGCACTGTAGGAAACCTCTGAATTCGTATCTGTTAATTACACATTGCCCAAGTAAAGTTGCAGCCAGAACTTGGTTCTGATTTAATACGTACCTGTATTGTTGAAGTTGTAGAAGTACGAGGGAAATTTAAACAATTCAGAAAATATTCATATATGTTCGTTGTATGGTAGGTGACACTACTGAGGCCAGGTCATACTGTATCTCGTGTCAGACAGTCACATGCTGAGAGTGTGGTTCAGTTGTTTTTTATTTTTACTGACTGTGACGTAAAGATGGTTGATCCACCATAAGTTTGCACCAAGGACAAGAAACGTTAATATTTATTGCCCTACAGACCTAGATAAAGGATGAAGCGGTTTCACTACCGAAATTCTGTGTAAAATCGGGTGTCTTTTGGTACAGTAATGACGGTGGTGGCAAGAATGGTACCGATGTTACCGCAGCGGGCTTGTTGTAAATTACGATTTCAGGTTTCAGAGACATAGACCTGTGTATTCATTAAGTAATAAAGATGTTTATAGATATCATATTACTCATAGAGGCTAACATGATGTTATATTATATCTAATATCATACAAATTCGACGTTATTGATGTGTGTGATATTAATAACGATGTTGCTTTTGACGAAACAATATATTTATTTCTACTCAGGCGGCCGTATAGATCATGCCCACCACTACAACAATGCGTACCGAGCACTGGTGGAGACCCTAGCGCTGGAGGCCGCTCTGTTGGCAGCACTGCCTCTTGTGGATCTAGCAGACACACTGTTGGTGCTCACTGCCGACCACTCGCACGTCATGACCCTGGGAGGACTTGCTACGCCGCGAGGAAATCCGATCTTAGGTACGACTGTTACTTAAAAATGTATACTTCATAAAATGTCGTGATATAGAGTGAGAGAGTGTGGTCACCATGAGTATAATCGTGAGCAGATCCTTAATTTATATTTATTTATTTATGTTTTTGTCTTCCGTAGTTTCTTTCGAAATATCGGTTAACGAAGAGTCTCTAATTGAACAACGCTGAATTAATAATTAGTGTGTAATTATGAAGCAGATCGTTGTATGCGTGAACACATATATAGTTCCCAAGTGGCAAAAGAGCGATGAACATGGGACGTTTATGCATTGTACCATGCGTGGTTTCTGGGCTGATCACCACAACAACAGCATGTAACAGCGAAGTCATAATACGTATCAGTACTTAACTATGAGGTTTCTGGTTCTCCTGGTAATGAGAATGACGATGAAGAAACATCCGAGAAGACAGCAATCTTACAAATTAACTGGACTACCATAGCTAAACTAAAATTAATTAAATAGAACAAGCTGTTTGCTGTGAAGTTCATTTACATAAACGAAACCAATAAACTTAGTTAACCTCTTGAGAGAGGACATGATTATTTGGGAAAAGAGGTATTTGCAGTCAAACCATGGCTTTGATACTAATATCCACGTGATTGTTGTTTACTCCGTAGAGGACACTTTATTTCAGCTGGTGCTTACCTCAATTACTGACGCAAAAGCACTCATCCCGTAAAGCAAATATGATTATGCACATAATGGTCAATGATGGGTACAGTGATAACAAAGACAATATAAATTAAATATGTACACTGTTTTCATACTCGTATATTAATAAGCATGTTGTCTTGTGCCCAAATATTCATTAATCTCTTTCTTAATACAAATTAATAATTTGAAAGTTTTGAAAGATGACAGGTGGCAAGTTCTGTTGATCTGTTTTGAAACTGCATAATACAAATTATAATCAGCTCGACCATTCGTCAAGAAACTGGCATTTTTAAACTTAAAAAATGCTTGAGGAACTACACTGTTTAACAATGCACTCGTTTCATGAATCTCTAAAGCACCTATCAGTATTACATGTACTGTCACAGAATTGTCAGATAAATTTTACAGTTCTCGTGAATGGAGTTTCGGCTACATTTCTGAAATAAAACATAGCAGCTTTGTTTAACAACAACATGTTGTCAATTTTGGAGTATTTCCAAATGCCGTTGTGTTAATAGTCTCTATTATTTCAAAACTGTTATTTCATATTTGTGGTGCTGATTGAGGAAAACATCAGCTCTCGCCACCGTTAATGAAATTTAACATTTAATATTACTCATAGGACCGTAGATGCCATGGCGCTGTGATCTAAGGCCTTATCACATATAACTGATTTCACTGGACATTTTAAAAAATTGGACTCCATGTAATGACGAACACGCCGAGGGCGTTCTGTTGTGTGTACCTCTTAACTTGTTTTGTACGTCATTAACATTTGCCATCATTCGTACCATTTACAAAGGCCGAAATTGAAACTGTAACGAACGCGCCAGAGTTGTTAGCTAGGTTACATTTTCTAACTTTTTATTTACATTATCACCGTACTTATTATAATACCCATTACGGACTTTAATGCTGGTTCTATCTTCTCCCGTGACGGCACATCGCATTCGGTTGAAGAATTCTAACAGATGATTCCTTTGAAATAGTATTTTCATAAACGCAGGGGAATCCACTTGAATAATTCATTTTGTAATGAGTCTTGGGGCTCCCAGACTAGAAGAACGACTGTATTATGTCAGTAGATCCTCGTCTGTTTACACGTGGAAAATACGCATTAGTTTTCATTCTAATGGTAGGTTGGTAGCACCACTTTTAATTATACATTTATTTTGGTCCACAGAGTGACAACCCTGACTGAGAGTTTTTGTAACTCAACTCATTCCTCGAGGAAAATTCCGGATAATATCTCACTTTAGGCCGAAACCAATTTTTTCCATATCCTTTCAAATTCATCATTCGTCAATTATCGTATCACTCGATAATACTAGTCTAAGCCACTACCAGCGTCATTAATTTAACCATAAATAAATAGAATACGTGGTTATTTATTTTGTCTCTGCCTGTAAGAGCAAACAGCCTAACGACGTTTTCCCTTACAGCCAGTGGTGGTACAGCTGCGAGGATAATAATGAAACATTTGTTGGTGTAATCGCATTACTGTGAAATTATCTTGAATTGTGCTCCGTTAATGTTTGTTAGGTAGTCATCTCAGTAACGATTCTGGCATTTACTCTGCATAACATAGGACGTTTTGTTGTCTCTGCTGCTTTTGTCCATCATGTTTGCAGCAGTCTGTCCTTTCAGTATTTCTCCAAGTACCGAGCGCAAGGAAACTACCGCCCACTATAGGTTATAGAATGTCTCAGTAAGGAGATCGTACATATCACAGTTTAGACGCAACTAGGTATTAATAATCATTTGGATGAAAACTGATGATATAAAGTAACAAAATAATAGAATTAATTTTTAATTTTTATAAAATAAGGCAAATAAGTTTCGTGACATTGGAAATAGACAAATAAAATCCTGGGAAGAAAGGCAGTTATAAGTGAAATGTACAAGTGTTTTGAATTTTCAGTTAGTAGCAGACGTAATGATAGTCATTGGTGTTTAGGGTAAACAAATTAATTAGTGAATTTTGTCTCCCCTCATAGACGAATATCAAAGAATTTAGTAATAAAGTGAACAGGGGAGATATTATATGTGAGTGGAGGAATTAAGACGACAGAAATAATTGCATAATGAAAAGTTTCTTAGTTCGTATTTCCCACGAAATAGTAATGGATGATAACACAGAAGAGGTTGAGATGGGCGGTGTATATAGCACGAGTGTTGGCGTAGCAAATTTTCGTACTTGCTGCCGTGAGGAACAATTGATCTGTTCCTGAAAAAGCGCAAAACAATTTTATTCTGTACAGTCATACTCGTTTCTACGGTTATGTACACCGCTAGGTAGCACTTCTTCGTGTGCAAGAGACCCCAGGCTTGGAAATGGGAGAAGGTTAAGTGAGTCGCCTTGTTTCATCCAGGAAAAGGCAGAAACAATTCCTTAAAATAGTCTTTACAGTACGTACTCAAAAACCTGACCCTTTTTTTCATGTATTTGAGCACAATCCTTCTTGAAATGTTGGTTGTCGCCCGGCGGGTCAAGAATTATCAGTGTTTGTAGAACAAAAACTTTACCATGTGAATCCAGTCCACGTCTTTGAGATCTATATTGATATTACATTCTTATCTACATCCAGGACTTAGAAGCAGTCCATACATTCAGGCTCTCAAAAGAAGGACTTTATAAGAAAGACGAAGTTGTCCGACTCCGAGAAGATGAATGGGTGACTGGAGTTAAGGGCACCTGGCTTGTAGTGAATGGTCTCGACATTGTGGCGACGAGACAAGTCCTGTGCAGCCGGAAATTGGGTCCTAGCGGTCGTCATATTCATTGCGTTGTCAAGGGCCTGACGATTGTGACAATGAAGGCAATTTGTGCTGCAGGGGTGGACAGCAAGATGTCGGATGTGGATGGCCTGCCATACTCCACACTTCTCTATGGCAACGGACCTGGCTTCTCACAGCCTCGGCCGATACCAAGTAACTCCTCGTCCTCCGAGATGGCAGGACGTAACTCGGTGCATGGAGCAGCTGTTCCTCGGCAGTGGGCCACCCACGGGGGAGAAGATGTACCCATTTACGCCCAGGTAAGTAAGATTTTTACTCTCGTAGCTCTGTCTCTCTCTCTCTAAACCGATGTTTTAGCCGTGTGATATTCTGACTTCTACATTTGCTGACGATCGTCCATTGTCATTGGAACAACGTTGAATAGACGTTTGAAATGTCAGTTTCTCTGCCTCGTGAATGTATAATAACATTTTAATTTCAGATAGTACTAAGTGTATTACGAAGTTATATATTTTGTACAACTTTGTCCTGTCCAGCTGTAGATGAATCCAGTCCTCAGTCTCACAACCTGTTGCTTTAATATTTTCGTATCCGCTTCTAAGTCTCTACCCTCAGGATCTTGGTGTTCAAATTTTGCATTCCTGTATCTTCTGAGTGCTACGTGTCCACCCATCTCATAATCTTTTCATTTGATCACCCTAAAACAGTTTGGCGAGCTTTGAAATTTTAGAAGACCCTTGTTATGCAAAATCCTCTATACGTTATAATTTTAAAAAGCCGACCAAAAACGCTTTTACTGCGAAAACTTTGTCTATTTTCATGCTGTATAGTAAGGATATAATTCTGTCATTCGCATCGACATTTCTTTTCTGTTTTGTCTTTTTCCTGCTGGCTTAAAGATCGTTTGTTTCTGTCAGGGTCCCCTGGCATCCCACCTTTTCTCTGGTTCCGTTGATCAGAGCTACATTCCTCACGCCATAGCTTACGCTGCCTGTCTTGGCGAACACAACCAGCGCTGCAACGGTGGCCCTGATAACTACTCAGCCAGTGATCCGGGTCCTGCCGCTTGTTCTGCTCCAGCACCGGAATCCAACCCCGGTGTCGTCCGCGACGGCGTTGTCGTCGCTAGTAGCGTCATGGCCGACGACAGCGCCACTCCAAATGCTGCGGCTGCGAGCAGATACAGTACAAGAAACTACGCAGTATGTAAAATGGTGCTCCTTCTGACTACTGTTTTCTCGTATGGCTTTGAAGTTACTTAGTAACTGAAACACGTGAAGTGAGAAACATCTATTTGTCTTAACCGAATTATTAAAGGACTGGCAAAATGCTGCCATGGTTTAAAAGTCTGAAATGAAAAGATAACTGAGGAAAAATGTTTTTAAGAGGTGTTACTGAATGCAAATATTATGAAATATTCTATAAACACTTGCGGGGTCTGTCCATAGAAACGGAACAGCAAAATCAGACCACACACTGAATAAAAATAACATATGGCCTGTATTGGACTATAAATAATATTTAGATATATAGTTTCCGTTAATCTAAACCAGTGAGTAAAATTATTTCTTGGACAACTGTTCCTTCGATTAAAATATTAAAGCCGGCACGGAAACATTATTTATTTGTGATGTAAAAAATTAAGCAAAGTGTTAAACTTGTAGAGATACGAGTTTCCATTTTACCCTTTCGTCTATTATAGATCCTAACCAAATTTAATGGAGAGAAGTTATTGCGTTGCATGTAACTGGTAAAAAGTGGATAACAAAAATTAGGGCCAGAATTATTTCGAGATTTCACAGTGACTGCAAGCGATTTATTGCGTCTGCAATAAATAATTATCGACTTCCTCAGTTCCTAATAGTTGGTTACGAGAACAGCCTAACCTAACCGGACCTAACCTAACCTAAGGTTATCTTTAGTCATTATGTGATTGCAATATGGTTTGTGGAAGCTGGAAGTAACAGAAAAGTTTTCAAAATTAAGTGGCACATTTGCAGTTGAATATTATTCTGTAACAATTTGCAGTTCTTCGTCAGTCAGCGAGGAGTGAGCTATAACAGGACGACTTTGCAATAAATTGCAAACCATTTTATTTAAGTAGTGTTGAATCCAAATTTTCTTTGCAACCGACAATTCTAGACAAATCGAGTAATCTGAACAGCAGCTGGTTTTATGGAAGTGTTGCTGTTTCAAGCATCTACAAATAAATGGCAAGTCTGTGCGTCTAGTAACAATGTCAATGTCATTCACACATTTGTTGTGTATTCTGAGCCCACTCCTTTGGTTGTAAATGTCTAGTGATTATAGAAACTTAATGTTTTAGGGCACAGAAAAAAGAATATTTATTTTTCGCGAGAAGAAAGAAAATGTTACTTATATTTTGTGATGCGTTATAATATTAAAAACAAACTTAACTAAATGGTTTATAGTTCAGATTTTTGCTTCCTCGCTTTGGTTAACATTCGTATACGAAAAGGAGTGAGAAAGAGTTTGATACGTGAAAGCTGATACCAGAGAAGATAAAATGTTGAATTGAAATAATGTATGAAACATACTACAATAAAGGTACAAGAGATGGATGGAATATTCAAACGTAATCGTTTTAATTACAGGGAATATATTATTCGCTCAAGAGTACCCATCTGTTGTTAGTGTATAACTCTTTTGTATTTGGGACTGAAATATATGTTATGAAATTACCCGTTAGGATGCAGGATGAAATGAAACTGAAAAAGAAATAAGTGTATGTTATGTATATAAATTAAAGTAGGTGTGCAAAATCTCTTTTACGAATAATAACGAAAATCGGATGCTGAATAATATATTGTTACCCTTTTTATTCATAATTACCAGTTAATCTGTTGCCTATTCGTATGCATTATATCATTTAAGGAATTAGCAAAGCGATTTTGTTACTTCACTTTTCTTAAGTTCTTAATGTTTAAAACGGAAAACATATTCTTCTTAACAAAAACATTAAAGTAAGAATTATATAAAAGGCATGTACCCGAATTATTATTTTGTTTTCATGCAGAATTTGATTCCTAAGTGATTTAAAAAGGCTCGCCATTCTCAGACGTTTAATAGGCTGTGTAGTGAAATTTATGCTCAGAGACCAAAACTCGATTTAGTATTTTCTTTTTCCTTATATTAAGCATGGTATTTTCTTCGATCTGTTGTTATATTAGAACGTGAATTACGAATTTCAGAAAAGTTATCACATGCACTATGCCGTTTCATTGAAATACAATACACCAAGGTGATGCGCATTTGAATAGGGTGTTTGAGATACACCGCGTAGTTCAGCCTCAGTGCAATGCAATTTGCATATTGCAGCAGCCCAAGTGGACCTGCGGTACACCTCAAATGACTGGACTCATTTGCATATAATTCTCCATCCCTCCAATAGCGACGAGTCGGTTGGAAAATTTGTAAAATAACACGAATTCGCTGAAAACTTCACACGGCTTATGTAACATGGTTAAAATGAGTATCTGAGCTTTATTTATTTCAGTAGAAGAATGAAATGTGTGAGATTTCAGATTTTCTTAGCGATAAAAATTTAAAATATTGGTTTATGATTGAGAACGCCGTTTATTCTCTTAACAGTTAGTAGTATTTCAGAGGGATTTTTCGCTTCTAACCTGATGATAGAGGTAGAAGGTTCCTCAGAAACATTGGTAACCACCTACAGGACAACCCAACGTCATACTTCAAAAGCCCACAATCCAAATGAAACAATTTATCCTGAAGCGATCTGTTTTATATAAAAAAAATTGAATAAGTTCCGCGTGTCTTATATTTTACATAATAAAGTGTCCGAATAATCGTATTTGGTGCACGTTTGTGGAGTTTCTTAAAATAATGTTTAAGATCAGATGAATAATTTTGCAGGCAACCAAGATAATTTATTCTGCACAAAATACACATTCAGCAACCCTTTATTGTTTTTTATAAGTCAAGTAGAGAGTGTGATGTGTGAACTAAAATAAGGGAAGTGGTAGCAAAGAAGGGAGAGATATGAAATATGAATTACGAAGAATGTAAGAATATGAGAGTACAAGTTGAGTCAGTAAGAGATGCAGTAAGCCAGCAAACGGTAGGGGGATAACGTTATGAGTGACTACAGGAATGAAGCAGTGAATGTGTTACAGGTTCAGAGACGAAAGAACCCTGATTTCTTCCTTATATGCTAGCCAGACTACTGCCAGGCGTCTGGAATGATAGGAGCTCAGGCAGCAGATAGGCAAGAAGGCATGTGTTTAATTAAAAAAGCAAGGGACTAGTACACTGCAACATATTTTCCAATAATACCATCTAGATTGCAACATAAACACTTAAAAAATATAGGCAAACATAGGTAAGCCGGCAGTCAAGCGTCTCTCAATGCACGCCTGCGTCTGGATACTCTAGACCAGTGGTTTTCAAACTGGGGTACGCGTAACCCCGGGGGTACGTGAAATATTAAAAAAAATATATGTTATTTTATGATAAACACTGAATAATCAGTAATGTAATTTATTTAATTGATTTTAGATGTAAATTATTTACTATGTATAACTTGAATTATACACCAACAACTTTGGGGATACAAAGTTGAAGAGAAATTATATCTGGGGGTACGCGAACAAAAAAGGTTTATAAGGCTGCTCTAGACTGCTTCGAGGCATTCAGGCGAATTTGTATCAACAATGAGTTCTAGGCAGCTAGGCACTCCAGAACACGTAGGAACATCAAAGGACGTCTCGAGTGTTGCAGTAGCTTGCGTGCAGTGTGGACGTGTCGCGGGACCAGCAATGAATGTACAGTGGTCGAACGATCGTGTTATAAAATTGATTGAATGATATCGTGGAAATCAATGTCTATGGAACGGACAATATGCCGATTATAAAAATCGGAATAAAAAGACAGATGCATGGAAGAGCATCGCGGATGAAATGGGAACACCACGAAACATCATCGAAGCGAAATGCACACCATTCACTGACAGTTTATGCGCGAAAGAAAGAAGATTCAAAATTCTAAGAAGAGTGGTGCAGGAACTGATGAAGAGTATGTTCCAGCTTGGTTTGCCTACCAACATTTGTTATTTTTTAATAACGTGGACACTGGCGATTCATCAGAATGATCCAAAAGACACTGATTCAACTAATAGTAATAAATAGGCCTAAAATAACTCACATTTATATAATCAGAGAGTGCTTCATTCAAACATCGGCACACTTCTGGCACTATTTCACTGATGAGTTGCTACGAGACTTTAAATGTATACATCAGAGATGTATAGGGATCCCCAGAAGCCAAAAATCTCAAGGTTATGATTAATCTTGTCTCTGGTTTCACTGAATCTCGAAATTTTGTGTTAGTCTTCGCAATTGAACTCCCAACCATTTGCAACAGTACCTCGAAATCAGGTGTCGTCATTCTGGTGAAGTTGCAAAATAACCAGTCTGACATCTGTAGGTTTGACAGTACACAACGTGTATCCTTTTCATCTAAAGACCTTCTCAACCAACCTCTCTTTTTACAGCACCCGGGCTTTTCAGAGACTGCGCGTCAGAGGTCGTGTGAAGCAAAGACCGCATTCCTCAGAGACACAGTACATAGGAAACAGTCCGATAGAGACCGGTTCTGCAAGGCATCAGGAGTCGGGAATTTTGAAAATTTTGAAGATGAAATTTTTCGATTTTTCTTGTTTTGTGCGCTTTTTGGACAATTTCCAGCATTTTTTGATTTTTTGAAATATTTCAACAGACAACACGTGAGGCAGACACGGACCGCAGAAACCGAGGCCTATAGAGGCCGGTTGGTGCAGACATGGAGACAGGTAGCAACCAGGTGTGATAGAGACCGAGTGCGGCAGAGACAGGACGAGGCATTCACCGAGTTTGGCAGGCATCACTTGGGGAGGGTTTAAAAAAAAAAATCAAAATTTTCGAAAAATAAAAAAATGCTGGAAATTGTCTGAAAAGCGCACAAAACCGAAAATTTTTGAAAAGCTTGAAAAAAAAATTGAGGTGAAATTTTTCGATTTTTTTTATTTTGTGCGCTTTTTTGGACAATTTCCAGCATTTTTTGATTTTTTGATTTTTTTTGAAATTTTTCATAATTCCACCACCTGATGCCTTGCGGAACCGGTCTCTGTGTAGCCAAGGTGCGGCAGACAACACGTGAGGCAGACACGGAACTGCAGAGACACAGTAATGCAGAGGCCGGTTGGTGTAGACACCGAGACAGGCAGCAACCGGGTGTGATAGAAGCCGAGTGCGGCAGAGACAGGATGAGGCATTCACCGAGTTTGGCAGGGATCCCTTGGGAAGGGTTTAGAAAATATATTGAAATTTTTCAAAATTATCGAAAAGAAATGTTGGAAATTGTCTGAAAAGCGCACAAAACCAAAATTGTTGGAATTTTTTAAAAAAAATTAAGGTAACATTTTTCGATTTGTTTTGGTTTTTTGCGCTTTTCGGACAAATTCCAGCATTTTTTGATTTTTCGAAAATTTTGAATTTTTTCAAAATTCCACCACCTTGTGGAACCGGTAAATCTCGGATTGTTTCTGATATACTGTGTCTCTGACGAATGAGGTCTGTGGCTGACTCCGGCTCTGTAAGGACCGGTCTCTGTATGAAATCACTCTGACGTGCCGTCTCTAAGAAGCCCAGGTGCGAAAGACAAAACGTGAGGCAGGCACGGGCCTGCAGATACCGAGTCCAGCCTGGCCTCCCCTGACCTCGCCTTGCCTCGCCTTGCCTCACCTGGACTCGCCTTGATTCGCCGTGCTACGCCTTTCCTCGCTTTGCCTGGACATGCCTGATCTTGCCTGGTCTTGCCTCGCTTTGCAAGCCCTAGCTTGGCCTTACTTCGCATTGCCTGGACTTGCCTGGCATCGCCTTGCCTCGCCTCGCCTCGCCTTCCTTGCATAGCCTTGACTTGCCTGGCATTGCCTGGCCTTGCCTGAATTTGCCTGGCATTGCCTAGTCTTGCTGACCTTGCCTGGCATTGCCTGGACTTGAATCACTTTAACTGGAATTGCCTGACATTGCCTCGCCTCGTCTTGCCTCGCCAACTCTCTTGAATGCCGATTCTTGCCTCGCCTTGCCTCGCTTTGCCTAGCCTTGACTCGCCTTGACTCGCCTTGCAACGCCTTGCCTCGCCTTGCCTGGCCTTGCCTGGCCTTGCCTTATCTTTCCTCTTCTTGCCTGCCCTTACATCGCTCTGCCGCGCCTTGCCTAGCTTTGAGGGTCTGGACTGGCTTCGCCTCGCCTAGCCTGCCTTCGCTTGGCCTCGCCTTGCTTCAACTCGTCTTGCATTGCCCCGCCTTGCCTCTACTTGCCTCGGTTTGCCTCTACTTGCCTCGGTTTGCCTCTAATTGACTCGCCTTGCCTGGTCTAGCCTCGTTTTGCCTGGCCTCGTCTGGCCTCGCCTTGCTCTCCTTGCATCACCTTGACTCGCCATGATACGCCACGCCTTGCATTGCCTTGCCTCGCCTTGCTCTTCTTGCATCGCCTTGACTCGCCATGATACGCCTCGCCTTGCCTGGACTTGCCTCGCCAGAATTCGCCTCACCTGGAATCGCCGTGCCTTGCCTTGCCTTGCAGTGAATCGCGTTGCCTCGAATTGCCTCGTCTTGCCTCGCCCTGCATCTCCTTGTCACGCCTTACCCTCCTGGCCTCGCTTTGCCTCGCCTTGCTTCGCCATGCGACGCCTTGCCTCGCCCTGCCTCGCCTTGTTTCGCCATTCATCGCCTTGCCTCGCGTTGCCTCTCGTTGCCTCGCCTGACTTCGTCTGGCCTCGCGTTGACT